GTACACACAAAGCCTGTGTTCGATAATTATGCACTGAATGGAGAATGGCAATTTTTGAAAATATCTCCAAGTCACCTGGAGCCAAGCCCAGCAAATCCTATATAATAAAAGCGTAACATGCAGATCGAATGAACAGCAGAATGATTGGTTGCTATGATGTGCACTGACCATCAGAGGGCAGGTGCTCAATGCAGGAATTGCCCCCTAGTGGTTAGTGCGCGCTCCCTCAGGGGGAGTGCTGTTCAGCCAGAAGCCAGAAGCCAGAAGCTAGGCTCATAGCTGGCTGGTGGGTGTAAGGAGTGAGGGGTCCCCGACTGCAAGAGCCCCAGACTGCAAGAGGGATGTCTGATTGCTGGCTTAGGCCCAATCCCCAGCAGGTGGGCATCCCCTAAAAGGATCCCGACTGTGCGAGGGTGCAGGCCAGGCTGAGGATCCCTCGCCTCAGTGCACAAATCTCATGCATCGGGCCTCTAGTAATTTATATAACTGAAGTCAAAGGCACATTAAAGAATGATGAAAAGACTTCCTTTTGTAGGACACAGGTTCATTTACTTAACACTTCCCTATTATGTGACAAAATTATTACTTTCCATTTTATTTGACCTTTCCTCTTAGACCAAGTATAGGGGTATGTTTTATCCTAAAGGGGTGCTCCCAAAGTAGTACAAGTCAAATCTGCATCATTTGAAAGTATAGCTCCAAAGTGAATATTCTGAAAAGGACGATCCATCCAGCTCCTTACCAGTTTTTTTTTTAATTATTTAAAAGAGGCTTTGTTGCATAGCCTCATCAGAATATACCTTCAACATTACTGAAGTTTCAAGCATGAACTCATGTACAATGTTAAGTCAAACATTGTCCTGCAAGACATCCTAGAATATTGTCCAGTCAAGTTGAAAGTCCAAGAGTTAAACTGACTATTCCAAGGGTCTATAATCCTACAACGAACTAGTCACAGCATAATGCAGATGGGAGGAAAAGGTGATTCTACAAGTGGAGGTTGCAGTGTTTTCTAAATATTGGCTTAATGTATCCTAGTGACTATAATTCTGAAATAAGCCGTTTAAAACACACACACCACACACACACACTGCACAAAATTATTCTCTTTGTTTGCTTCCATTTAAGAACAGAAATCTTCAATACTCAATCCTACAAACTCTCATTTCCCGACAGCATGGCTAACATTAACATACTTAAAAGAAAAGCTATCTGCCTTATTCTCTTTCATTTGACACCTCTACCTCTCCTAACAAATCACTTCCCAATATATCTAGGTTACTAACGTCGTTATGAACAGCGGTATCCCTGGATCCTCAATCATTTGATCAGATAAGTTGAGGGTGAAAACAAGGTGTTTCCTTTTCTAACAACACCTGGCATTGAGTACTGAGCATTAATATCGATAGAACGGGGTCTCCACTTACAGTCTGTGATGCTGAAGGTTGAAGGCATAACTGAGAGCGCACGTTTGTTTCTTGTTTACAGGAGATGGGTGTGATCTCAGTGACAAATAATTCATAAGCTTTGCACATTAGGTGATTTCTACCACTTCTTCCATAATATTTATCAGCAAATAGCACTGTGAGTTAGAGCTGCCATTAAAATAAATGATCCAGGCAAAACACTTTCACATAAAATAAGCTAACATTTAAAGAAAATACAAAAAGAAGTATCTTAAAAAATATTTAGTTTCAAAACCAATAATGTTTTGAATATAAAAGTTGAAAACTCAGGCTCTTTTAAAAAATGTATCAGACTCTCCTCAGCCTTCATTTCTTCTCATCACACTTTCAGGATGATCCCAATCCTAGTCTATTTTTTTTTTTTTCTTCTTCCAATCCCAGTCTTTAAGTCTAGATACTGCATTTTTCCTTTTCAAAAGAAACTTCTCATGTATGAAAATAAAACTGCAAACTGCTAATAATGGCTAAGTTCTATCTCTTAGTCTAAATAAACACTGATGATTTCTGAGAGAGATAGAAGAAAAATAAAGGAGGGTACTTTTTAGTAAGGACTTAGCAATTTCAGGACAAGGGTGGGAAGGGAGAAAAAAGTTAGCCACAATACTATCTAAAGACTGCTTTATAGTTTCTTTTTTTTTTTTTTTTTTTTTTTTTTTTTTTTTTTTTTTAAATTTTTTTTTATTTTTAATTTTTTTTTTTTTATTTTATTGATTTTGTACAGAGAGGAAGGAAGAGAGATAGAGAGTTAGAAACATCGATGAGAGAAAGTCATCGATCAGCTGCCTCTTGCACACCCCCCACCTGGGGATATGCCCGCAACCAAGGTACATGCCCTTGACCTGAATCGAACCCGGGACCTTTCAGTCCCCAAGCCGACGCTCTATCCATTGAGCCAAACCGGTCCCGGCTGCTTTATAGTTTCTTAAACATTAACAGATTATCCCTTCTGAAAGGCTGGCAAAGAATTGATACCCATAACTGTATCTGGCTGTACAGAAGGGAACGTCCCCAATCATATAAAAGACTAATAAAAAAGGAAAAACCCCTGAGAGCTGCACAGACCTAAGCCTCGGGAAAGAAGAGGATTCCAAAGCCATGCACCTCCTTCCCTAAACTGAGGGGAAATGGCACCGCACCAACATCCTAGCTAATCGCTCCCCTCAGAGCTTGGCAGAAGGAATTCATCATTTGAGAACTAGAGCTTCAACCACAAAAAGTAAAAGCAATGGATTCTGCACATATTTGTTTCCCACCGACCTCCTCTCCACCGGGCTAGCACCCCTGCTCCTCCACGGTCTGAACAGACAGAAATTAAGAAGGCTCCAGGTATCCTCCAGTTCAGGGCCCTTTTGTTTTCCTTCACACACCCTATTCCACTTTTCTTAGGAGTCCCAACTACTAGTATCTCTGAAAGAAAAAGCATTCTGACCTAGGTTGACTTTTGAAACCGAAGTACAAATGACTGGAATTAACATTTCTTTCCTGACATTCAAAGTACATTAGACTATCTCCCAGCCACTGTATGTGTCACTCAAGCAGTTTAAGTGCATGTCAAAGGACCCTAATGCTGACACCAGATCAAATTAACCTGTGAGCACTAAGAGGTTGACTGTACTAAATCTGAAACAATGACTGCACTTTACAAATTAATTGGGACACTGCTTTCATCAAGTCTCCATGTGATTCCTGTAACATACAGGTACATTTCATTTAGGCACTTACCAATACCACCAACCTCGCCCCCCCAGCCCCCCTCATCAACCCAGGCTCAGTACTCATTTCTCTCCTGGACCACTCTCCACCCCCTCTTTGCCTCCACCAGGCCCTACTTTCATTCCTTCCCTAGGTCAATGAGGGTCAGGACAAAATGCTTTGCTAGTTAATTTTATATATAGCAAATTAATAGTTTTTATAAAGAGAACACTACATAGGTCACAAGAGATAAGGGTACTAGGTAGAAACTTCCAGGCACCTCTGATTTCAGTGGTTTCACTGACTCATGAGAACTACCCATATCTCTGAGTAGCATTAAGTCCCCACCAACTACCCAAGCCCAGAATCTGTGGTGGGAATCTGCTCCACCTGAAGCTACTTCTTAGGCCTAGATCTGCCTCATTTCTTCCTTTCCTCACAGGCCTGAGACACAGCTGTTCTCTGCTGGTGCTGCTGCCTCCACTCACTCACTTCTACTTACAGTCAAGTGAGAGGCAAGCTCTTCAACTCCCTCTTCCTTACTGCCCTCCAGAGACACCGGCCAGGGCCTTTTATGGTCTAACTGGCCCTTCTACCGGCCATTATAAAGAGCACAAGTGTCAGTCATTACAACTGTGGGCCTTAGGGCTGTGGTTTCTATCTTTTACCAAGCTATCAACTGGCATAGTTAACAAACTTCTTTCTTTAAATGTAATTAATCTAAGAAAGCGATTTTAGACTTCAAAATTTGGGAGCCAGGACATTTTTTTTCTCTTTAAGAAAAAAACAAAAAGGCAAAAAACAAAAAAGAGGAGAGGATAACTGACATATGGTTCAATTTTCTTTTCTAGCACAGGACAATAAAAACAAGCAAAACCTCCCCTTCTGCCAGTACCACAAATGAAATAGATCTTTTATTACACACACACATAAATCCATCCCTTAAACTATAATAAATTTACTTTTTAAATATCTCATTATATTGTTCTTTTTTTCCTTATTTTGCTATGGAGAAACGAAAACAAATTGCATCAAGTGAACAGTGGCAATTGGGAATGGTGATTTAACTTGGTCGCGTATTCAGTTATGGTAAGAAAGACAAAATTACCTTTTTATCTCAACTATACAGGTTTTTAAAATATTCAATCCATAGTAATCCCCATTTCCAAAATATATGGAACAAATATTATGCCCAGAAAATGGGAGTCTGAACCTGAACCTGAGACTAGCCAGCCCACATCGTTAATAACTGATTAGATTCCTAAGGAAAGGCCTTCTCACTTAGTCCCCAAACACCATTTCTAGGAGTGTGAAAAGAAAGAGCTATTAGTTCAATATCATCAAGAAATGACAAACTGGGTCAAAATGCTGATTTAAAAATCTTTACTGTGTAGTTTAAATTGTTCCAAAAACCCAAAATATATCCGGACTTCCTTGGCCTTAATAAAGCACAGCTGGGCAGTAGGACTCATTCTGTAAAACTAGGCCAAAAAGGTGACAGCAAATCTTAAATTGTGCACACCCCCCAAGATATTTCCAAAAGCTAAAGCTACTTAAGACTAAAATTTATACAGCTAAAAACCTTCTATTTTCTAGTTAATATGTAAATTATGGCTCAAATGCCATCTTCTGAGAAAAACCCTTATCAAACTCTCCTATGGTGCCTAATACTTCAACACAACTTAATCCAAATAAAAATGTAGGTCATTTCTTCCCTCTACAGTGAGCAGTATTTTATGAACTTCATTACAGGAAAAAAAAAAAAAATCCAAGCAACAGATTTACATGGGAAATTACAATGTAGTATTAAAAACTTTTAATGAATAAAAGCATTTTACTTACGATGTTCCCTGCTGAGAATGAGGGCGGGTTTTTGAAGATGTATCATATTGTTCTATGGGGGAGGGGAAAAATGATTAGAGCAGCACTGTGACGTATGTTTATGAGATTTTTACTTATAATTTCCCTTTTTTTTGGTGTTCCCTCACCTTCTTCACCTAAACATTCAGTATATTCAAATTCTGTCCACTAGGGTGCTAAACTGTACCTGGCATGATCACATCACTATTTATGTTCCTTCTAAGGGAGGGCTTGTTCCAAGTTAAAAACCCTTAACAAAGCGCACACAATCCTAAAAGCACTGCCTGCAGCAGGCCCTGCCACTCTGAACTGCCTGCGAGGAAGGATGCCCAGGAGACTCTCCTGGTGGGGGCTCAGACGGAAGCACCAGGGCAGAGCTGCTCCCACCCCACCTGGTTTCCCCTCAGGTATCTATCATTCATTTGCTAGCACTCCATTTACAGCCTCTGTCCTTGGCCAAACCTACCTTTGGTTCCTCCATTATTCAACATCTCCCACAATTTACATATTCATCAGCTATTTATTGAGTGTCTCATAGATAAGATGTTCAGGGCACTTGACCCTGTCCTCAATGAGCTTCGAGTTGACTGTGGGGCATCAAATAGCACAAATACCTACAATGTTAGGCAGTGTGAGATTAAGTACATCAATTGATCATAAAGTAATTGTCCCAGGAATTAAGAGAACTGCCCCTCGGTTGACTAGAGGAGGAAATCAGAAAGGGAACCCCATGAACTGTCACAAAGGGCAGGTGAGATTCTGATAGAATGACTCTGGCAGGAGGGTGAGAAGATCTGCAAGCAGAGGCTGCACTGTAAACGGAGGTGCAGAGAGGAGGCGTAGCAGCAGCACGGATTTGGAAAGGGTGAGGCTGGGGTGAGAATCGGTGAAGAAGGACATGGAGAGACAAGCGCAAGTCAGGTTTTGGAGGGCTCAGAAGGCCAGGGTGGGAAGCTATGACTATTTGTTGAGCAATGAGACACCACCAAACGCCTAAACAGGGACCTGATGCAGCTATTCCTCAGGAAGAGTACTCTGGGGGTGCAGCCCGGGCTAACCTAGAAGGGAGCTGGAAACGTCAAATGTGGCGGCAAACCAGTTAAGAAGCTGCTGATTCTGTCTGAACATGAGGTAGCAGGGACCTGAAACAGGACTCAAGTGGGATGGAAATATGGATGCCTTTGGGCAAGAGTGAGTGATACTTTTCACAAAGGTCATGTGGGCCCTGGATATTTGCAATTAATCACTTTATCCTCATGGTGGCAGCAGCTCTTACATAATATTTTTTAATTCAGCTAGAAAGTCAGGGCCAGGACTGCAAATGAGAGGGGCTAGGGTCAGTCACTTCTGGCCATGTGCAGGGACTCCTGTCCAATCATCCTGACTGGCCCTCAGCCTCACGAGGCTCTGTTACCTGCAGGCAGGTATGTTCCCATACGTGGATGTGAACACACGAGTAAAATCCCTACACTTCATACTCTGAACTCTACAAAACTGTAAGATCGCTTTCAAGACATCTGAATTCTCTTGCTGGGCATACTTTGAAAAATATATGTCAAACTTTACTTTTCTGAAAGCTATATCCATATAAACTCTACTCCCTCTTCATCCAACACACAACTAGACCCTTTACGGTCCGACCAGGCTCCACACAGACCACATCCTCCCCAAGGTCAACAAGGTTCCACAGAACACCCACAGACAAGTGGCGGCAACGAGACCCCAAGGTAGCATCGGTGAGCCAAGACCTACAGGAAACTTCTCATCAGAGAAGCAAAGCGTGGCCCGCATGAGTCCGCAGGCCGCGGGGACACCCATACCTGGACAAGGAAGCACTTACCGGTCCATCTTCACCTATATTGCTAAGAGGGGAAATCCATTTAAAGGATGAGCAGGCCCTTCTAAACCAGGAGCTAGCCATCAAGCTGTGAGTGACCCAGTGGGAGGCACATATAATAGCTGGCAGCCAGCAAGTGTGGGTACAGGGGCACCATAGTCCTGTCCACAGCTGAACTGGCAGCCCGCACCTACAGGCCCGCACCACTCTACCAGCTGGCGATCTCTGCCTCAGCTGCCAAGATGCTGAGAAAAAAGATTTCCCAATCTCCCCAAGCAGCCATTGATTTCTGTCCATTTTATCTTGCTACTTTATATAACACTGGGCAGTATGGTCAGTTCTTTGCAAGACCTTATTCAGTATCTCTAGAGCAGAAGACAGCAAACTTTTTCTGTAAAGATCAGACGTATATTTTACACTTTGCATGCTACACCTTGTGGTTTAATAATAAATAAGCAGGCACGGCTGTGTCCTGATAAAACCTTCTGTACAAAAACCAGCTGCAGAACAGGTTGGCTTTGTAGGCTGTAGTTTTTCCGGCCTTCCTCTAGATCAGTGGTTCTCAACCTTCCTAATGCCATGACCCTTTAATATAGTTCTTCATGCTGTAGTGATCCCCAACCATAAAATTATTTTTGTTGCTACTTCATAACTGTAATTTTGCTACTGTTATAAATCATAATGTAAATATCTGTGTTACCTCTACAGCACCGGTTACCAACCTGTGGGTCCCGACTCACAGGTTGAGAATCGATAGCAGGGTCACCTAAGACCATCAGAAAACATAGATATTTACATTACGATTCATAACACTAGCAATGAAAATAATTTTATGGTTGGGGTCACACAAAATGAGGAATTGTATTAAAGGGTTATGGCATTAGAAAGGTGAGAACCACTGCTCTAGAGGAAGGATGCTCTGTTTCTTGCTTTTCTCACCTTTTTACTCTCCTCACATCCAATTAAAATGGTAGAAAAATCAAGAGAGAAAAATGCAAGTGATGAAAAGGAATGAGATGGAAAAGATGAAGGAAGCGTCACCTCCATGGAACATCTACCTCTGAGGTCCCTCTCCCCACACACAACCTACTGTGATCCCCATTCTTTGAAGACTAAAACTTTAGAACTTGGGCACCTACTACACAGTATTAATGAATTAAATGATTGGAAATACCCTAGTCAATTTTATAAGATATGAAATGCCTTGCATATAGTTGGGACAAAAAGAATCAAAATTACTAATAAAGAGAAGAGATGGATAAAGTTAGCTTTTTTCCATTTATCTCAGAATTTTCAAGTATTTACAATCCATAAAAGGGGTTAAAATTTTAATTATATGGCAAATACATACAGAGGGACTAAAGAAGCTGTCTGCTGTATTTTTTATAAAAATCTCTTACTTTTGTATAAAGAAATAAAAGAACCACACAAAATATCCCAACTTGGCCTATAGAAGGGCGAGCAAAACTAGGGTTACAGTTGTTCACATGGAAAGACATGCAGGTTATGAGTATTACAGTAGCTTTATCAAGCCAAAAGAGTATCATTCACAACTGTAAACCTATATTTGCCCACCCTTGTATACAATTCCTGGATTATAATGCTTGAGAATCTTATTCAAGATACTGATCACATGTCAGGTAATACCAAATTACAGATGTTAAGGACTTTACTAAAACTTGCAACAATCTGAAATTCTACCTAAAGAGCAGCTTTATATTGGTCTTACATTCCCATTCTTTCAACACAGGACTCCTCATCTCTGCTGGGCATTTTTCATTAATGTTTTTTTTCTCTTTAATATCAAAACAGTGAGACCAAGCTTTGTTCTCCAGTGCAATAATCAGTTCTACATATTTACTTACTTTGGTTTTGGGTTGCAGAACTGATGTGCTGAGAATCCTATAAAGAAAAAGATAAATCTACAGTTAAGGTTTATAAAATTAAGGTTACATCAAGCTAAATCTATTAACCATTAATAAGTCTAATTTTTACACAAAATAGGTTTTATGGCTTCTCTTCTTTACTAGATTATTTTTCCTTTAGTATTGAGCAAAGATTTTTTAAAAAACAAAGTGTATATGATATTTTACTTTGAACATGAACCACCTTTTTAAAAAACTATCATTAGAAAATATGCCAAGTATCAAATGTGGCAAATGCTAATTTGAGAAAACATAACTTTTTTTGACAACAATGCCATGGAAAGGAATGGCTCTAATATATTAATAATGTGCATGCATATATCAGGTTAGACAGAACACCTTTTTAATAAAGGTATTTCTACATTCTGAAGACTATCCTAAAGTACAATGCCCCCCAAAGAAAAATGGTACTATTTTTATGTTATTTCACTGCTCATAAATACTGTAACAGAAACACCTGTCAGCTGTTGATTTGCTTGTTCTGAAACCAGCACAAGTGTAGCAGATCATGTTAAACTTTAACAAAATTTAAGAAATGTAAGTAGTGTAAGATGCATGTATGCATGTATGTATGTATGTATGTATGTGTGTAAATGTTTATATCTCCATTCTAAACTAGGAATCAGACAAACCACCTCACTTATTTTCCTGTACATCTGTTTTTCCATCTCTAGGGAATGACTCTCAAATGAGAGGATTTATTGGAAAGTACTGAATGCTTTCATAAGCTACAAAACCCTATATAATCACTATTATAAAAAAATTAGACATAATTTAGATAAGTGTTTGAAAGCATTAGAAAGCACTTTAGAAGTCAAATTAATTGTGATTTTTAACATAATTGCCAAAGAGTTCAGCAAGTAGCAGTTGACTAATCTGGCTTACAGCAATCCCAGACTGCACTCTGGGTGCAGTGCCTGTGGCACCGAGGGCATTACCTTGGTGGGAAAAGGGAATTTGGAGGGCTCAGCGGTACTGGGCGTATGTATTGCTGTCAGAGGAGGTGGCCACGAATGTGTCATTTCCTGAAAAGAGATTTGGGGAAGGGAGAAAAAGCCAATTATAAATAGAACACATTGCTACTGAAGCTAATTGTGTAAACAATGCAGGGTGGATTGATGGTAAATGAAAAAGCAAAACTGAAAGTTATTTCATTTACTTTTTAAAAAATCTCCTACTTAATGGGCTATGCTCAAAAGCTGAAGATCTCCAACTTACAAAACTGGAAAGAAAAAAATCAGCATGAAGGAGAAAAACAAAAGCATACAACAGTCTTAACACTGAATACTGTAAAGTGTACACCCGGGTGTAGGTATTACCAGAGCTTATGTAACTGCGAAAGGGGAGCCCCTGCTCAGTGCTTTCTTTCTCCCTCAGCTTCTTTATTGCATTTCCTGGAATTATTTAAGTTCAAAGGAAGAAGAACTTTCCTGTTTGACTTAAGTAAACAAGTAATTTAGGTCACTTGTTCCTCTTGGGAGAGTTTTAATGGATTTGACCCTTCCCTGATGCACACATATGATGTGTACATAAGGACAGTGTGGAGGAGAGAGCCTTAAAAAAATCACCTCCCTTTCCATGATCAAAAGTTTAATTTTTATTTACTCATAGAGGCAAGGTTCCTAAATCTCACAAATTAATATATTTACCTTGCCATGAATTCTTTTTTCTAAGCACATTCATAAGTTGTATTTTACTTTGTTAAAAACAATGTCAGATTAAAGGTGTCCAATCACAAATATGTACATGTGTACGTACACACGTACACACACACACACACACACACTTTGTCAAAGAGCTAAAGTGGCACGGGGGTCATTAACTCCAACCTTCTCTTTTACCAATGAGAAAACTGAGCTCCAAAATGACTGAAAGGAAGCCAGTGGCTGACAGCACAGGGTATGGGCCTCCTGCCTTTCCTGTCTAAAAGAAAAAACCAATTCTCACATTTTTGGCCAAGAGCAGAGAGGACTTTTTGAACACTTTTGACAATCTAACATGGAGTCACTGTCAGCCCCGTGCCAGTTATGTCAAGAGCTATGTCGACTGAGGTGATCTGGGGAACAGGAACGGCCAAAAACACAAGTCTGGACACTGGGAGAGGGCCTTCAGGTGAGTAATGGTATGGAGTGGGACCTCTGCCCGTTGGTGCTCTAAGAACTCAGAGCTCTGACCTCCAGGTGTTTGATGTACCAAAGTCACGACCGGAGCCCTGACTGACTCCCACTCCATCCGAATGGGACACCCCTGTAGCTGCCTATCTTGGGACATACATGCACCTCTCCACTGCAGACAGCGCCAGTGAGCGGGACTTTGCACTGGATGCTTGCTCTGCTCACTTCTAGCTGCCTGTAACTCTGCTGGCTTACTGGGGAGGTCTCTGTGGAAAGACACAAGCATGTGTGGGTGACTTCTTTAGAGGATGCTGCCTTGCTCATGTCATCATGTGTGTTAGACCTGACTGGCAAACTGGATTAAGGAGTGACAGGCAACCCTCTACCAACAAGCTGACCACCCTAGACCAGGCTGTACTACCACCTCCTCTGCGTAACACATTGTGTACTGCAACACTTCCTTCTTTCCAAAGTGCTGACCAGCCTAACTCTGACCACAGAATCGCCCACGGATCCCACCACAGCTGAACATGGTGCTCTAGTACAGCTATCGCCAACCGGTGGTACGTGAGGTACGAGAGGTTGGCAACCACTGCTCTAGTAGGTTATTTCCAATCCCAAACTCAGTTCGCATCTCCCCTGGCCTGTCCCCACAGCCCCTCTCTGAGTCGCTACAGCCCCAGAATTGACAGAAATGGCCTGGCACAGTAATAAGCATAGTAGCTGCTGTTGACCGACCTTCACCAGCCAGGGGAGCCTGCATTCTTGGAGCTCTGTGAGCCTCAGATCTCAATAGCAGGTGGACTAAAACCACTTATTTTTCAGAGTTATGGGTAACTTAGGTAAAATGCCTAGATACATGATGCATAGAAAACACTTAAATTAGCCAAAACCGGTTTGGCTCAGTGGATAGAGCGTCGGCCTGTGGACTGAAAGGTCCCGGGTTCGATTCTGGTCAAGGGCATGTACCTTGGTTGCGGTCACATCCCCAGTAGGGGGTGTGCAAGAGGCAGCTAGTCGATGTTTCTCATCGATGTTTCTAACTCTCTATCCCTCTCTTCCTCTCTGAAAAAATCAATAAAATATATATATTAAAAAAAAAAAAAACAGGTGTCTCTAACAATTCCTAAGACATTAAAAAAAAAAAGCACTTAAATTAAAAGCATTACAACTTTTAATTAATAGTCTAGCTTTTGAAGAACTTCAACACTGCACCAAAGAGAGCTCCTTACTGTTTTATTTATTTGATACTTTAAACTATGGGACCAGTATAATGCTACAATGTAATAATTGAGAAGTCGTTTGAAAGTACCATCCTTAAGTCTTCCAAGAATCTCTTTAGTATTCCAATAATTTCCTTAGGATTTATTTAAAATTCCAATTTGTTTAGAATTTCAATCTACGATGGTTAGTCACCAATTATTCCCAGAAAACATCCATTGTTCTGTCACTGCCTAGGGCTGTCCTGGCTACTGAATTAGGCAGTTGGAATGTGTGGTCTGCTGGAAGAATGTATGCGCTGCCCTGAATGCCTAGCTCAGGAGGGGGACTTAGGCCTTAAGAGAACTGGGGCCATGAGAGAAAGCTGCCCAGAATCACAAGACCACGGATTTGCTCCCAGCCTCAGCAATGCTTATCACATAAGTGGGGGTAAAACACTTGGCACTGCTTCAGTCCTGGCCTTCTGGGTGACACCACAGCAGTCTCCGCTCTACACGCCACCTCGCTCAGTTTGCTCTATACACACTGTCTAGTTCTTCTTGTTCTGTAACATGCCAGCCTGTTCCCATCTCAAGGTTTTTGCCCTCTTTCCTCTGCTTAGTCATCTGTCCATTTGCCTGCTACAGAACTCATACCACTTAACACTATCTGGAATTTTATTATATACTCATCCACCCCACTATGACCTCCATGAGAGCAAGGACTTTTATTCATATGGCATCTCCAATGCCTAGAAAAGTACTTGAAGATTAATAGACATTTGTTGAGCAAAGGAATGAAGGAACAAACAGTGTTGCCACTCACTGTGCCAATGTCAATGGAATGCTGCACTAACGTAAGTACTACAAGTCCTGCATTATTCCCCCAGGAGGATACACAAACCTGAGCTGTTTCCATTCACCCACTAAGGCACATTGCACATGGTCCCTTGTACATGACCAATTCCTGGCTTCTAGCAGCGTCTGTCTGTTATGCTCTTACTTCATCAGCCTGGAGAAGTTATAGGCTACCACTTCCCCTTCATTAAAACACTTCCATCCTTAATATGTCCCCTGGAGAACCAAAGAGTATCTTCCATGATTGAGTTTTCTCTGTTAGAGACTATTTACTGTCCATCAGAAAGATTTGTTAGGATTCCTGGCTACCTTCGTAAATTGCTAGTTCCAGGTAAGAATAGGAACCATGAGGAAGAGGAAAGCATATGGATTGACAGCAGCCAGTGAGAGCTGGAATGAACCCTGGAGTTCATCTACTAGCCCAGGGCCTTCATTTTAACAGTGAGAAAACAGACCCAAAGAGGACACATGACTTAACTGAGGCCACAATCAGAGGAGAAGGGGACAGACTGTAAGTTTCCACCACACAAAAGCCTCTTTAGGCCAGGGCAAGCTTCTGTTTTATAAGTTCCAAGTAAAAATATGCACCTGTTGCTTATATTAACCATTTACTTTTAGGTATTTCCAAGTAAGACCTTAATGTGATATTGGGTGAGAGGGGAGGAAAGATGGGTGAGCTGATTAAAAGTATTCAATTGGTGGTCACATATCATCATCCTAGATAAAGGACTCAACAGTAGTATCTATATATATAGAACACTAATATGCAAATAGACTGAACTGTGGGACAACCGGCTCCACGCGTGGAACATGGCAGGTGGCAGCAGCAAGTGGCAGAGTGTGGAACATGGCGGGCGCCAGCCACGGCAGGATAGTGAACAGGGGTACAGACCAAGGTGGGGTACCGGTTGCTGTCATTAGGGCATGCCTCTGGTGGTTACTAAAATTTCTTTGCTCCTGTGTTCCACAATCCTGCCTGGCGCTCGCACCTGCTGCCAGCTCCTGGCACTGGCCCGGAACACTTGGCACCATCTGCAGGTAAGAGCAGCAGCTGCCAGTCCCGATCTCCACCTTCCCCTGCTCCTGAGTGACGATTGGGCCACCAGATGTCGTTTGCACCTGCTGATGGCGCTGGCCCTGCTAACACCCGCTCCTGGCACCAGCCCCAATTACTCTGCGCCATCAGCAGATTCAAGTGGGACCAGTGCTGTCAGCGTGTGGGGGTGGTGGCGGCAGGAGCTGGGCTGCCGGCAGAGAGGGGACCAAGGGCTGCCAGGCAGGGGCACAGCCGCAACCCGCACCTGTGCCCACAGTTCCTTTTAAAGTGCACAAATTCGTGCACAGGGCCCCTAGTATGCTAGTAACACACATTGAAACGAGAGAAGCATAGGGCATATGCAGAGGCAACTAATCTACAATGTTGCATTTACTTTGGAAATAACAATAGAATAGAAAATGCTAAGGCCATTTTCTAACTAAGTAATTTGTTGTTTATATAACTCTTCAGATCAAATGATTTCAGAAATACCAGAGGGAGAGCATAAAACAGAATGTAATCAAAATAACTTGTTTAGCCCTAGCTGTGTTGGCTCAGTGAATAGCGCATCGGCCTATGGACTAAAGGGTCCCAGGTTCTATTCTGGTCAAGGGCATATTCCCGGTTGCAGGCTCGATCACCAGTTACGGGTATGCAGGAGGCAGCAGATCAATGATTCTCTCTCATCACCAATGTTTCATGTAACTTTCTCTCCCCCCACCCACTTCCCTCCCTTTCTGGAAAAAAATAAAAAAAAAATTTATATATATATATATATATATATATATATATATATATATATATATATATACCTTTTCTTAAAAAATGCCTTATTGTTAATCTTACTTGCTGGTTAAAAAAAAAAAATTCTCATTTTTAGCAGAACAAAGCATGTTTTCTTAAAGGTTTTTTTTTTTTTTTTTTTCCTAAGAAATCCTAACTACCAAAGTAGGGGATAAAAGATTGTAAAACAAAAATATTTTCTGAGCATCTAGTTAGATGCTATTTTTATTAAAACCCTACAAGTGAGAAGATAACCACTATACTTAATTACTGGTTTCAGCTCCACCTCACTTAATACGTAACAATTAAAATTAAAGAAAAAATTTGGTAAGCATATATTTTGAGGGAAAGAGTACACAGTAGAGATACAAATTAATAAGTACATGTGCCAGATAAATTTCTTTCTTACTTCCAAAAAAGAAATTAGAAAACTTAAAGTAAAAGACAAAGCAAGAATATAATTAAAATTTACATGGAAGGAAATTAAAAGCTACGGAGGAAGAATGAGAAATAAACAAAACTCTCAATTATTACAATTATTATATCTGAGTATTAGATTTCCAGGAAACTGAAGCCAAAATGGGAAACGTAACGTTCACATAATTCTTCTCTAATAAAAAGAAAGCATGCTGGTTCATGAGAGGGACCTCCTATTCTCCCCACTCCTCACACCCTCCCATCCCTCCAGAACTAAATTCTAGAAAGAAATCTTGTGAAAGAAAACTTGAACAAATGGATAATGGATTTGATGATGTATTTGTAGAAGCAGCACAAATGTTCATGGCACACTCAATAAGAGCAAAGAAATCCTTCCTCCAAGGTCCAAAGATTCTGTTTTTATTTTCCCCCCTTTAAAAACTGTGTATTTTATCTCACTGAAGATACAAATATGAGGTCTCACCTATGAACCACCCAGAGGAGTAGACCAAACAGCTGGTGCCTTCCTGACTGCATCCATGCAGAGAGTTCCCCCCAAAATCGGGCAACTCTCCTGGCTGTTCATAGACAACCAGCAAAACTGGAGCGAGAGAGAGATCTCAAAACTCTGGTGGTTCACAAGCCTTGCAGTTAGTTACAAGACTTCATTTTTATTAATAAAATCTGCCAATGAGTTCAATTATGTTCCTAGAACCCCTCTGTCACTGCTCTGGTTGATTTTGCTTCTGGAGATGTTTGGGGTGGAGGTGGGGCTGTTTAAAAAGGTTTGGAATGGCAGCTTTTCCCAATCAAAGTCAATGGACACTGCCTGTCTACTTAAATACTTCTTCAAGTGAGGAACAGTAACAGTGAACTCACCTTCAGAATCTCTTCAACACAATGGGCTTCATTGGAGTAGGTCTGCTGAAAGTGAATGGGAAAAAGAAAAAGTTAGTGCACACAAACAACAAAACAACTGGAGTATTAGTAGAGCAGGTATTAACACAGCAAGTCTCTCTTAAGTAGAATCACCTTGGGCCTACCTTTTGCTAGGTAAATATTAGGAATACACATTCGGGATGAAATAAGACAAAGAGAGTAACCTGACTTAATCATGGGGTACTAATTATGGGCTCCAAGTCAAAAGTTTCCAATGGAAAATATATATAGTAAAGAAAATCAGTATACTCTTATATCTAGGGGAATAATGAATATAACAAAAGTAGAGGCAGAGAGAGATAAAATCAGTGTCACAGTTTGTTCCTTCATAGCAAGAGCTGTCCAGTGAGCCAAGCTATTATATATTAACAGGAAGATGTGGATGATCACACATTAGGACTAGTATGCACCCACACAGTCAGAAGGCCAACCTCCAATTAAGGATATATTTTTTGGCAACATTTTAACCTGCCAAAAATTCATTTTAAAGTTAAATGTCTTGCTCTAGCTGGTTTTGCTCAGTGGATAGAGCATCAGCCTGCAGACCAAAGGATCCTGGGTTCAATCCCCAGTAAGGAGCCAATCAGTGATTCTCTCTCAGCATTGATGTTTCTATCGCTCTCTCCCTTCCTCTCTGAAATCAATAAAAATGTATTTTTTAAAAAGCTAAATGCCTCTAGCCCCACTCAAGTCAGCATTTTGACCTTTTACATACATATTATATACACATATACACACAAATATGTATGTACGTACACATACAAAAACAAATGTATAGTATTTCCCCAGAGAAAGACCTTAAGGAGAGAGATTACCTACTGTCTTGGAGAAAAGATCCACTACTTATAGCTCTTCTTTATGCCCAGCTAAACCAACGATGGCTGCGGTGGTAGTACTACCACACAGACAATGTCTAGGAAATATCATCTTACAGCCTTTATATTTTTAAGTGCAGAGTAAATGGAAAAGTTAAATATAAAAAAAGAAAAACGCAAACCAAACCTCTCCTTAACCAGAGACATGAAACAAAACCCATGACTTCATGGTTTTCAAAGGAACAGTAACTTCTGATGTGTGTCAATTCCTAAGCCAAGTGCCCTGGGCAAGTTCCATATAACACAGCCCCTCCCGTTGCTGTCACTGCTGTGCAAAAAGCACTGATCTGCTAGGCAATTGGGTGCAGTATCTGACTCACAGCTAGAGGAGACAGAAAAGGGCTCTTTTCCTGGCTCTTGTTCCTAATTTGAGTGCAATTTAATACAGAACTGGCTGCTAGTGCCTGAATTAAGAGTTTTATAAACCTATTTCCCTTATCCCAGTTTATTCTAAGAAACGAGGAAAAAACAAAACACAAATATACAACATTTACAGTGTTCTGCAATGGAATCTAATGGCATGTCAAAATTCAAATGCGATCTGACCTGCCTGGGTTAGATTTTAAAGCTTGTATCCTATCTAATAAAGAGAAAATATGCTATTTGACCCTCACACCATTGCAAAGATGGTGGCACCCACAGCCAATAAAGAGGAAATATGTTAATTGACTGTCACACCCTCAAAGAAGGCAGCCCCAAAGAAACAAGATGGCGGTGCCCAATCCCCTCAGCTCCGCCAGGGTAGCAGGCGCACAGCAAGGCTGGGCCCACCCCCAGGTAGGCCCGGCCACTCAGTGTGCCTCCTCCAGTCCCCTCAGCCGCCCAGGGCCAGCCTGAGGTGCAGGCAAATCTCAGATGACAGCTGCCCAGCTGCCCAGCTGCCCAGGGCCACCCAATGCACAGGTAACAGGTGTCACCTTCCCCTGATCACCAGGTTGCCTCCCGCCCTTGAGAGCTCCCATACTATGAGAGAGGGCAGGCTGGGCTGAGGGACCCTCCCCCGCTCCAGTGCATGAATTTTCATGTACCAGGCCTCTAGTTATTATGATAAGGAATGGGTTTTATTGAAATGTCTCCAGTTGTTAGTTTTGAGAAAGGGTCTGGAAATAAGAATATAACAAAAAAAAATCATGGATATCCTTTTTATCTGTTGGTCCCACCTGACCTGCCTTCAGACATTATTGCATGTCAACAACTAGACTTGCTCACCCACTTTTTGTTTTCAAAACCATTAAGGAAAGGCTAAAAACTGAATCAAGCATTAGTAACCAAACATTTTAGCAAAGTGAGTGCCATTTTGACCTAAGTGTAAAATGTAACTGTGTTCTATGGTCTCAATTTTTCACACGCATCATTAGGAAAAATACTAATTAGAAGTTGAAATAATAGAACAGAGCATATGACTGACTAGTCCCCTCATCCTACCTGTTGCTTGAATGGGAAGGGGAACCCAATGAAATATGCAACAATCAAGGTTGCAGGCTTGATCCCCCAACAGGGCACATATAAGAATCAACCAATGAATGCAAACTTAGTGTAACAACAAATCTCTCTTTCTCCCTCAAATCAAGTTTTAAAATTTTATTTTTGAAAACTCTGGCAATCAATGAAAAAGTGAAGCATGTTGGAATTAGGGCAAAAAAGATTTGCCCACTGCTCCCAACAGAATGAAGTAAAAAAGATACTACAGGACACTTCAGGACACTACAAACCTTTCTAATCTTCATAATTACTCCAGTGGTCAACACTTAGCCAAGATGTTTCATATCATTAAAAAATTTGTTTCTTTGCCTAAATTTTTATTACATGAGATGAACCAAAAAATGAAGAAATTTTTCTTTGGCTTAGTGTTTACTGGTATCAGAGTAAGACACATATTGCTAAACAGTCACCATATAACCTATTAAAAACTAAATAAGTTCTGAGGCTCAAGCATTAATTGGTTAATTTACAGTAAATTTCCCTATAAAGTCCATTACGGAAGTGGGGATGTTTCAAAAGGGTTTGGGGATGCCATTTCAAATACCTGAGGTTAAATAATATTTACAGATCTCTAAACGGCACTGTTTATAATGGCAAATAACCAAAAATGATCAATAACCAATAACAGGAGTCCAGCTAAAGACCTTTACAGTACACCCATCAGCATGCTGTGCAGACTTCAAATAATGTCAATATATGTGTTTGCGTGGGAAAATGCTAAGATATGTATTTAAGTTTTTCTTTAGAAAATTCATACTTAAGAGAAAAATTAAAAAATAGTAATAGAAATTCCCAAAAACCCTTCGCTTGAATTCCCCAAATGTTGGCATTCTACCATGTTTGCTTTACAGTTTTCTCTACCCGCCCCATCTACACTGAACTGTTTGAAGTCAGAGAATTAGAGGTAATGACCCTGTACAAGACACATTTTAAGACTGCACTTAAAAGAGGGGAGGTAAGAAGTAGGATCCCATTTTATGTTCCATCTACCTGAGACTCATATCACTACTTACTCCTCCCCCAATCAATTCAGACAATGAAACTAGAATATAAGCATTTCAAATGTGTTTGCAGAGAAAGATCTGGAAGGACAGGCTTCCTTGTTTAATCAAGTACACCTTGGCACCTCCGAGTCTACCACTGGGAGGAGACGTTCCAAAAAGGGAGGGGTGGATCAACACCCCATTGTGGCCTAATCCCTTTGTAAAATCCACTTTCCCCTGGCTCTCCAGCTGATGCTGCCACTCCCACTTGGCACCACCCCCTGTCCCCCTCCCCCTAACACTGAGGCCAAAGAGTAAAGCGTCAGTCTCCTTGAGGCACAGCTGAGTTTAGGCTGAAGATCTTCAGGTAAAATGTCCTCAAAGAATAAGAGATGATAAAAGGCAGCTACAAAAACCTATGCTTGTTGCATGAATTAGAAGGCTCTCATTTGCAGGGCACTTACAACAACAAATGTCACCGTTGTCTCCCACCCTCAATGTCCAGGTTCCTGAAGGAGACAGCGCTCCCCTCCTGGGGTCCTGTGTGTGGACCTCACTTCCTTGTGACTCCACAGTGTCATTCCAAGAGGAGTGAGGAATCAGACCTAGGCCAGCATTGCTGCCTATTCGAGTCTCAAGTTTCTGAACTAAGTGAGGTCTCCTCACTTCCCCAGTAGGATATGGCCTTAACACAAGAACCATAACTCTATGCAATTTTTTAAAATGATAGTAGTGGCCCCGGCCCGGTAGCTCAATTGGTTAAGAGTATTGTCCTGATACACCCAGGTTGTGGGTTTGGTCCCTGATCAAGGCACATATATAAAAAGCAACCTATGAACGCATAAATAAGTGGAACAACATATTGATGTTTCTCTCTCTCCCCCCACCCTCATTAATCAATTTAAGAAATAAAAAATAATAGCAGCTACTTATTGAACACATATTGTACTTGATATTGCATTCAACTCTTTCCATACTATTATTTCCTCCATTTGGTATCATCCATCGTAAGATGCAACTTCATTAGCGTGGCGGGGGAGAAAGGCACGCATAGCTCTATATACACCCCTTAGTCCAGAAAGTTCAGACCTGAAAAGGCAGCAATGCTAGCCTTGGTCTGATCCCTCAGGCCTCTTGGAATGACACTGTGTAATCATAGGGAAGTGCACTGAAAATAAGATATGAATTCAAAAGAAGATATGGTAGTAAATGTCTTCTAAGTGTGACATGGTTTGTTTTAATAAGCTAAAAACAGCCGGATGGAAGAAAGAGACCTCACCACTGAGACCAGGAGGCTCTCCCAATACTGTGCCTTAAGTCTCTCAAGTTTCAACAGAGCAGCACTTTTATAACAATGCAATTCTCAAAAAGGCTTAGTTATCCCTAACCAGGAACTGCAGGGAGCACAAAGGCAGCACGTTGAGGAAGGAAGCCAGCAGATCTTGGATTCTGTTTCTGGCTCTGCAATCCTGGATAAGATTCAACTTGTTTGGGACTCCTTCCTCATGGCGGTGAAGGTACATTACCAGTCCCCATGGCTTCACAGGGCTGGCACGAAGGTCAAGCATGACACTCGAGCCTTCCCCAAGTCCCTTCCTCCTGACACCGCGTGTGTGCTCCTGCAGCTGCACACACTTTCCTGTCA